ATGGAGAAACCTGGTCTGAATAGAGACATTAGATTCTTATCTCATTATACATGATAAAGCTATTTTTAGCCATTTCACCCCTTGCTTTTTCCTGTAAGACCAATTGCAGTTATTAAGTCATCAGGTTTACCACACCTATCAGCCAATCACCCATTCCCACCACCCTTCTGAGTAATACCCCTCCCCACCTTCTCACTATATATAAGGGTCTGGTGACTTCTGTTTCAGTGTATCTGAAGAAGTGTGCATGCACAAGAAAGCTCATACCAATAACTAACTTAGTTGGTCTCTAAGGTGCTACTGGAAGGATTTTTTTTATTTTGTTTCGAATCAAGGGGCTGTGAGGGAAGGTCACAACATTTGGGACTTTTAAGAGAAAAGGTGAGTAAGAGGCTATCATGATAGCACTTAAAAATATGGAATTTGCTCCTGTAAGAGGCAGCGATAACCACCAAATTGCATTTCTTTAAAGGAGGATTAGACAAATTCCATGGAGGAGAAGGCTCTCAACAGCTACTGTGTGCTGGCTCCACAGTTTGAGGCCGTAGCGGATAGCTCAATTGGTAAGAGTGCGGTGCGGATAATGGCAAGGTTGCAGGTTCGATCCTGTAAGGGACAGATGCATATTCCTGCACTTCACGGGGTTGGACTGGATGATCCTCAGGGTCCCTTCCAACTCTATGATACCAGTTGCTGGAAACCACAGGAGGGGAGAGCGCTCTTGCTGATTTCCCACAGACATCTGGCTGGCCACTGTAAGACTAGACGGGACGTTGGCCTGATCCTGCAGGCTCTTCTCATGTTTTTGTTTTCCAGAAGCCGCTTTTTTTGTTTTTTTCCTGTAGCGCAGTTTTATGAGTATCAATATGGAAGGTTTTTATACTGCCAATCAATCTTTATTACGGTCCAGAGACCCAACAAATCGTTACAAAGCAATGCACAATTCAGACAGCCTACCTCCAGGTTAAACAAGCATTTTGTTCAGACTTAAAGATAGGGATCATTGGTTCTTACAATCACTGATTAAAAACTTTGCCACTGCTAATGTTCTAGCGTTTGTCCGGTCTTCCAATAGGAACCTGACATAGTGAGCCTCTGATTTTCCCGGGAAAGGTACCAGCAAGCGTAATATCAGTTCAGCCCTGGCTTGCTCATATTTCGAACAGTGCAACACTTTTTCAAAAAAAATTACCTGGTATGTGGTTGATTCCACAGTCAATCACGACCGCGCCAGGTTTGATCCAATCTCCTTTCACCATCTCTGCCTTGCCAGCAGCAACCACCAGGATATCCGCTTTGCTGACCTGCAAACAGAGCTTGCATCAACCCAGGGTTCACCAGGCATGCTCCACCACCCTTCCCTCTTGCTCAGTCTCTCTACTACCCCACCCCTTTAAAGCAAATACTCTATTTTAAAATAAATATTTAAAGGCAGGGAGAAGAGAGGAGAAGAACCCAGTGGTGGCTAGAGTCCATTAGGCCTGCAAGGCCCTTCCCTCTTGACCCCGTGCTTGATGGGGACGTAGGAGAGGGCCTTCTCGGTGGCTGCTCCCAGACTCTGGAACTCCCTCCACTTGAGAAGTCAGTCTGGCGCTGCGCTATTTTTATTGTAATTATCTGTATAGTTGTTACAGATTTTTATGCATGGATGGGTGGGTGTGTATTTGTGCATACATACATGTGTGTGTGGATATTGTTTAACCCCCCGCATGTTTTAGCTGTTCCCATCAGAGGGAAAAGTGAGCTATAAATAAATTTAGAAGAACAACAAAAACAGGAATAGGAAGAAGAAATAGGGTGTAATGCAGGAGGCCAACAGTAGGTGGAGCTAGAGCCAACGATGGGCAGAGCCAACTAATCCTATCTTTGTCCCCTGCATCCTCTCTGCTGACTTCTACAAGGAAACAATGAACAGGGTGTTGATACAATGACTACTGCAATTGAAATCGACACAAGATAGTATCACCAAGGCAACTTTGTACTTCCAAGCACCATAATAATAATAATAATAATAATAATAATAATAATAATAATAATTTATTATTTATACCCCGCCCACCTCCCAGCCTTACCTCCTCAGCCAGGGACGCAGTCTTGGAGTGGCATGTCGTCACAGTCGCGTGGTTCCAGAGCAGGAGGTCGTGCATTGGAGCACCAACTATCTTGCTGCGACCAATCACCACGGCTCTTTTCCCAGCCACCTGAACACCTGAAACACAGAACACACAACTTAGTTTTGCCTAAATTCCGAGCCGTGGTAATGACGTATTTCAGCCTCTAGGGCTTGTGGGATTCCACTGCATGAAAAAAGCAGAAGCTACACCGCTGAGCCACTTTGCTTCCCCACAGGCACGGTGGCATCTTTCTCCTAATCTTTTTTATAAATACAATTTTTATTTATTTTCCATTTAATATTATACAATCACATCATCATCATCCACAATATCGCCCTGGCTCTAGAGAGCCTATCGACTTCCTTCCCTCCCGCCTCATGGCTTTCAAAATCAACCTTTATATCATTGCAAATATACGTTTTCCAATTCTAATTACGCTCATTACAGAATGGCTCAAAATTTACATAAATATAGAAAGACGGAAAATCTCTCATTACAAGTCTTCAAACAGCCCTGCTAGTGATGTTAATTGCTTACAATAATCTTTCAGATATCGTATAAATTTACTCCAATCCCTTTGGAATACTTGATTGCGCTGGTTTTGGATTTTTCCTGTCAGCTTCGCCAGTTCTGCAAAGTCCATCATCTTCATCTGCCACTCTTCTTTCATTGGTACTTCTTGTTATTTCCATTTTTGTTTTTGGGCTAAAATAATTCTTGCCGCAGTTGTTGCATAGATAAACAGTCTTTTATCTTCCCTCGGAATCTCTTCACCCGCTATACCCAGTAAAAAGGCTTCTGGTTTTTTAACAGAAGTCTTTTTAAACATTTTCTTTAACTCAATATATACCATTTCCCAGAAAGCCTTTACCTCTTTGCAAGTCCACCACATGTGGTAGAAGATACCTTTCCTCTCCTGATGATTTCCAGCACTCATTAGTTCTTGTTTTGTACATTTTAGCCCTTTTTCTTAATATTTTGTCCCTAGTACAGCAAGACACACCGGGGCCTTAATTCTTCCTGGACCTCTTTCACAGTAGCATTTTTACTAAGGCAAGAGGCCACGTGGCTTTTCCTTGCTCACCTGTCTGCCTGATGAGCTCCATGCATCCTTTCGGCGTGCAGGGGATGAAACAGTCTCCGAGGTCGCCCCGCGAGAGCTTCCCTGCATTAATACTGCTCAAGCTGAAAAGGCGAGAACAAAGCAGCAGTGGTCAGTGGTCTCTGAGGAAGGAAAAAGCTGGCTGGAATTCTATTCCCTCGTTCTAAGTCTGGGGCAGACTGAAGCGCAACCTCCTCTGGAAATAAATAAAGGGGGGAGGGCGAGATGCAAATGTTATCTGTTCCAGAAGGTACAAGCATCTGGTTCTGGACTGAAATCCCTTTGCCATATATGGTATGCATGTGATGATAAAGGCCCAAAACCTTCTCAATTCAGTAGCAAACATCACCAGTAGCAAAGATCTCACTTCAGAAGCAAAGATCACCAGTGTCAAAGCACTGATTCTTCAACACCAACTTTGTTGGACTCGTCATGTTGTGCAGATACCTGTTTAACGTCTTCCAAAGCAACTACTCTATTCTGAACATAAAAATGGAAAGTGTAATGCTGGTGGTCAACAAAAGAGGTTCAAAGACTCTCTCAAGGCAAATCTGAAGGGGAAAAAAGGACAGTGGTACCTCGGGTTAAGAACTTAATTTGTGCCGGAGGTCTGTTCTTAATCTGAAACTGTTCTTAACCTGAGGTACCACTTTAGCTAATGGGGCCTCCCGCTGCCGCTGCACAATTTCTGTTCTCACACTGAAGCAAAGTTCTTAACCTGAGGTACTATTTCTGGGTTAGCGGGGTCTGTAACCTGAAGCGTATGCAACCCGAGGTACCACTGTAGTATAAACACTGAGAACTGGGAAACACTTGTCTGCGGGTACTCCAATTGGAGAACTGCCTTTCCCAAAGGTGTCATGGGCTTTGAAGACACTCGAACTCAGGACGAAAGGGAGAAACGTGCTAAGAGGAAGGCACGCTTGGCAAACCCTCACCGTGATCAACTCCCGCCCGGAAACCTATGTCCCCACTGTGGAAGGACGTGTGGATCCAGAATTGGCCTCCACAGTCACTTACAGACTCACTTTTAAAACCGTGATTATGGAAGACAATCTTACTCGGCTACGAGTGATCGCCAAAGAAGAAAGTAAACCTTCTCACTTCAGTCTCATCTCCAGGCAGCTCTCCGGGATTCCAGACAGAGGACATTCCTATTTCCCTGGAAATTGCCAGGGATTGAACCCGGGACCTTGCCTACAAGTCAGAGGCTCTAAGGCAGACCTTTGACCCTTCCGCAAGCTTACCCGTCCACATCCTTTTCAGGTGCCACAGAATTGGTAACTTTCTCCGTGTTGATGGGCTTGTTGGTATCCAAAGGCAATTGTACTATAAACCCATGAACAGCAGGGTCGTCGTTCAGATTGTGAATGCATCTCAGCACCTGTTTGTTTAAAAGCAGGAACAGGACCGGGGGTGGGGAGACAATTAGAAAGAAACAGGTGAGGGTCTGCAACAAAATGTTGCACCATAGCATTTTCCTGTTCAGGGTTCCAGCCTGCCATTTTATCTCCCTTCCTTCTATTCCTTTTTTTTTATTTTTTATAATTGATATTTATTGAATTTTCAAAAAATAACAACAAAAATTTCCAAAAAAAATTTAAGGATACAAAAAACAAAGATAGTACATAAACAAAAAAGAAAAGAAAACCCAGCCGCAAAGAAAAAAAAGAGAAACAGAAAAACAAAAATATAAAGTCCTTTACAATCTCTATTGACTTCCTTTCTAGACTTCCTCCTCCTCCCCTCTTTTGTTTCTTAATTTTTAATTTTTACAGCAAATCCTTTCTGTTTTTTCATAACAATCTGTCATTACGTTTCCTTATTCTATTTTCCCTCTTGTCATATAAAAACTTTAAAACTCATAGCTTATATTCAATATTTACCAAATTCTTGCATCATTACCTTTTTACGAATCATTTACCAATCCTTACTTAAGCCATGTAATTTCATTCAACATCCTTCAAACATTTGTAAGCATTCCCAATAGTAGAAAATAAAAAAGAAGAAGTAATAAGTCAAATTCAGTCCAGTCAGCTTCCAACCTCCCCTCCCCTGGACCCGGGATTGTCAGTCCTTTTAACCTCGATAATCCGGCTCCTTAACCTGGTTGTCTCGTATCCGAGGCCCTCAAGTCTCTTTCTTGCCCCTTTCGCCACTCTTGTTGATGATTCCTTTCCAGTCGTGGATGCTCCAGCAAGAAAATGCTTTTGACCCTTTGCAGCAAGTCCATCCCAAACCCATTGCCCAAGCCAGACAGCAAATAATACCACTTCAAATTTCCACAAAGCTTGGAGACTTCGGCTACTCCAATCCTCTGATAGCCCATCACCAGACTCGGAAGGTCCAAATAACCATATGGAGGGGGTCGATCCATCCCCCCATTTCCAAATCTAACCACATTTCATCTTTCCGAATCTGGTTTGTCCCAAGTTCATTTATCAAGTTCAAAGGCTGATCTTGCCCGTCCAAAGGTCCCTCCATCTCTGAAGCCTCCGTCACTACAGCAGGTTCATATGCTTGTATGGCCTTTAACTGAATTTCATTTGTTTGCTGCTGTGCTCTGGTAACTTCCATCATCAAGGTCGTCTCCTGACGCATCTGGTCCAGCTGGGCACTTAGTTTTGAAAAACCTTCCAGGAACAATTGTTCAAGCCTTTGTACTAGCATTGACCTTGAAGGTCAAAGAAAATTCTTTCCCACGAGAATAGTCCAATAGTCCTTCTCTTTTAATCTCTCTGCGTTGCAATTTCATTAAATTCCACTAGATGGAATTTTTTTTTTTTTTTAAAGGAATAAAAGCAACAGCAACAATCTTTCTTTTTCCAGAAACACTTTATCCAAAATTCCCCCTTCCAAATTCAAGAGGCAACAGTAGAATCAAAATATTACCCTTCTTTTAACTAACTGTCGAGCTGGATAAACTTCAGAACGTCAATTCTGACAGCCCGCTCCTGGTTCAGGGCGGTGGAAAATTGCTTTATTTTAAACTCACTTCCGCAGGATTGAAAAGTCCAAATACAACCCCCTTCTTCTCCTGCAGTCAAAGGGGGTTCAGAAATCTTAGATGTTGAATTCTAGTTCTCTTAGAATTTAATTTTCAAGCTTTAGTATATTTTGTCTTTGCTTTCTTCACATAACAAAAGAACGGAAGGCGACTTCCTGTTTAGACCTTCCCATTCCGAGTCCCAATTAAGTTCAATTTCAAGTCCAATATTATTTGTTTATTCACCAGTCTTAAAAGTGGTTCAACTCTTCCAAGATCAGGTACTCACGGATAGATATTTTAGATGCCAAATTGTCCAGGAAAAAGGCAGCGCTCTCCGATAACGGCAGTGCGGCTTTGCTGCACGGAGGAAGCAGACGACTCACAGCACCACGCACCTCCCACTCCGGAGCCCGTTACCGGGCTCCTGTACAAAGGGAGAGAGCGCTCTCGGTGCCCGCCGAGTCCCACGTCCACAGGCTTCTTCCGCCTGTGGTTTTTGAGGGTCCCCGCTGCGCCGTAGCGGCAGGACCCAAGCCTCCGTGCAGCGGGTTCCCTTCAGTCCGAAGGGAATTCCGCCATTTTCCGGAGGCACCACCCCGGAAGTCCTCCCTTCCTTCTATTCCCCACTGCTCCCTTCCTTCTATTCCCCACTGCTCCCCACATCTGTCAGCATTCTGTGCCTACTGAGCATGCTAACCCATCACGCTAGTCCTCATTGAGCTGTTTTGAACCTTCTCTCTCCGTTTCCCCCCCACATGTGGTACATAATAATAAATAAATAATTCGAAATTAATTCGTTCCGCGAGTCTTTTCGTCTTGTGATGTTTTTCGTCTTGCGAAGCACGGTCCGTCGCAAATGCGCCTCTTCAAGCGGCTTTAAGAAAAAAGCGAACAAACTCGCAAGACGTTTTTGTCTTGCGAAGCAAGCCCATAGGGAAATTTGTCTAGCGAAGCAACGCAAAAACCGAAAAACCCTTTCGTCTAGCGAGTTTTTCGTTTTGTGAGGCATTCGTCTTGCGGGGCGCCACTGTATATCCCGCCCTCCCCAGCCGAAGCCAGGCTCAGGGTGGCTAACAACAATAAAATAATACAACATTCTAAAATCATTTCATTATAAAATTAATTCAAATCAAATTAATGGCAACCATTGGGCTAGAGTTCTGTGAGGATTGCCAAAGGAGGGTGGAACAGCTCTGTCTTGCAGGCCCTGCGGAAAGATGTCAAGTCCTGCGGGGCCCTAGTCTCTTGTGGCAGAGCGTTCCACCAGATCGGAGCCACAGCCGAAAAAGCCCTGGCTCTGGTTGAGGCCAGCCTAACCTCTCTGTGGCCTGGGGACCTCCAAGATGTTTTAGTTTGAAGACCCTAAGTTCCTCTGTGGGTCAT